TACTAGATTTTTTCGAAATTAGTATCTCTGGATTCGCCGTCCGTTCGCCGTTTCAAGATGTCAAGCCGCGACGACAAAGAGAAAGGCGTCAATGTTCAAGTCCTCCTTCGTTGCAGGTACCGTCATTCAATTTTAGGGTTCTGGATTTCGATTTTGGGTTTAATCCCACTTTCGATTTGTTTTTTTTGTTCGAATTGAATTCTAGGTTGTGTGGGTTCGCTACTCGATCGAAATCGGATCACAACTTTTGTTTGTTTTCGAATTGAATTCTAGGTTCTGGGTTCGCTACTGGGTCGAAATCGGATCACAACTTTTGTTTGTTTTCGAATTGAATTCTAGGTTCTGGGTTCGCTACTGGGTCGTAATCGAATCACAAATTTTGTTTGTTTTCTTATGGGTTCTGGGTTCGCTACTAGGTCGAAATCGAATCACAAATTTTGTTTGTTCTCTTATGGGTTCGCTACTGGGTCGAAATCGAATCAAAAATTTTGTTTGTTTTCTTATTGGCAGGCCATTTAGCGATGATGAATTGAGGAACAACGCTCCTCAGGTTCTTACTTGTAATGATTTGCAAAGAAACGTTGCTGTTTCCCAAAACATCCCTGCCAAGCACATTGATAGGGTCTTCACTTTTGGTTTCGATAAGGTAACCAAAAGTTGCCTCTACTCAACTGGGATTTGCTCGGATTCTTGTTTCCTTAGGTTGTGGCATCAAAGTAGATCATGGGAGATGCTAAAATTGACTGTTTCTGGGCTTAGGATATATTTTATGGAAAGAGATATCTTTGATGGAGTTCTCTTTCACATTGTGGTGAATGAGGGGGATTTGTTTTGTGGGTTTTGGATAGTAACTTCAAGTGTATCTTTAAAAATGATAGTCAGTCAAAGTGTCTGTGTTTCAGGAGGCTTAAGTGTAATTTGGTATGGTTCTGCACTAGAACTTTGCAGTGTAGAGAGGAAGGTGTAGTGTTCACTTGTTCAGCCCGTTTGCTTTTTTTTTTTGTAGTGTAGAGAGAAAGGTGTAAAGCTTTTGTACATTCATCATGTGATCTTTGGTGGATTTTGTCATTTTAGTGAGTAAACTAGATGGTGATTGTGTGTTTATATATGTTGAACACAGGTGTTTGGACCGTCGGCTCAACAGAAAGATTTGTATGAGCAGGCCATTGTTCCAATTGTGAATGAAGTACTTGAAGGCTTTAACTGTACAATCTTTGCGTATGGCCAGACTGGTACTGGGAAAACATATACAATGGAAGGAGAATGTAGAAGGTCAAAGGTCCGTGTTTTGTTGCAGTGTGTTTGTTTTTTAAAGTTGCTGGTGATGTTTCCTAATCTTAAGCTATTTACCTTCTTTTTGACTGAGACAGAGCGGGCCAACTGGAGGTCTTCCGCCAGAAGCAGGTGTTATACCTAGAGCTGTAAAGCAAATCTTTGATACGCTTGAGGGTCAGCAAGCTGAGTACAGTGTAAAAGTCACGTTTTTGGAACTCTACAATGAAGAGATTACCGATTTGCTTGCTCCTGAGGATCTCACCAGAGTTGCTGCTGAAGATAAACAAAAGAAACCATTGCCTCTAATAGAGGATGGCAAGGGTGGTGTTCTTGTGAGAGGATTGGAAGAAGAAATCGTGACAAGTGCCAATGAAACCTTCACGTTGCTTGAGAGAGGTTCCTCTAAACGGCGAACTGCTGAAACATTCTTGAATAAAAAATCAAGGTAATGCATTTATGAATGCGGAAACATTCTTGAATACAGGTTCTTTGCACATTAATGTCAAGGTCTCTCTTACATAATGATATTCTTCACTTGCAGTCTGTCACATTCTCTCTNCTCTATAACAATACATATCAAAGAATCTACTCCTGAAGGTGAAGAACTAATCAAATGTGGCAAGCTGAACTTAGTTGACTTGGCAGGATCAGAGAATATATCACGTTCTGGTGCTTGGGATGTAAGTAGTAGTCTCTTACTGTTCAGTCAATTTCTAGATTTCATGTCTGGTCGAGTATCAGATTTACTCAATAGCCTTTTCTATACAGAGCCGTGCTCGAGAAGCTGGTGAAATAAACAAAAGTCTTCTTACCTTAGGGCGAGTGATCAGTGCTTTGGTTGAACATCTTGGACACATTCCTTACAGGTATAAGCTGTTTCATGGGCTTTTCCTTCTTTACGTCAGTGATCATATAGCAGTGTTTCAAGATTTGCTGAATCCTACAATTATTTCTTGCACTGAATTTAGGGATAGTAAGCTTACCCACTTACTACGTGATTCGCTTGGTGGGAGAACGAAGACATGTATCATAGCAACAGTTTCACCTGCTGTTCATTGTCTCGAAGAAACCTTAAGTACTCTAGATTGTGCACACAGGGCGAAGCATATCAGGAACAACCCAGAGGTATTGTCTTGTATTATAATAGTTTCATTCATCACTCCAATCCTCTGTTTCATTTTTTTCTTGTTTCTATTTAGGCCAACCGTTGGAAAATCAGAATTCATTTTCGTAATCTTGTACATTTCTTTTGGCAGGTCAACCAACAAATAATGAAATCTGGTGAAATAGAAAGACTTCAGGCGGGTAAGATGCCATTCCTAGAATAATTGGAGGGAATACTTCCACTCAGCTTAATGAATTCACTCGCAACAATATGTTAGATGCGTAGAAGCTGAGTGAATTGGGTGATAGTGAAGTGCTGATTTCTCTTTTTCTTGCAGCTGGTTTTGGCGTTTGGGAGAGGCACACCAAAGCCATAGGCTCGAAGCTTTTGGCTCAAATGGGGTTTCGCCTAGGATCTGGCCTTGGTGCCAATGCTCAAGGCATCCAAAACCCTATCTTACCTAAGATCTTACCTCGACCAAAACTGACGACTGAAGTGAATATGACAAGGACAATAATGTTTGTTCGTGCTTCGGGTGGTAAGAATTCTCCGAAACTAGAAGCGCCATCTACTCCAATTGTCAAAGTCTTTGGGGTAGGTGATGGAGGCTCAACAGCAGTGAAAGATATGATGCAGTATGGGGTGATGGGAGTTGAATTTTACGTTGTCGATACTCATTCTGAGAAGCTAAAAGCCTTTCCGCTTCCCTCAAGTAATAAATTGCAAATCGGTAACAACGTAACAAGAGGTTTGGGGGCGAAAGGAGATCTGAGGATCGGTAGGTTAGCTGCCATAGAGAGCAAAAAGGCCATTGAACATGCTCTTTGTGGTGCAGATATAGTCTTCATTGCAGCTGGCCTCGGTGGGGGAACAGGCTCGGGGGCAGCCCCTGTCATTGCCCGATATGCGAAGCAAATGGGGATTTTCTCTGTTGGGGCTCTGACCATGCCATTTCCAATGGAGAAAGAGAGAATGGAAACCGCTGAAAAAATGAAGTCTCGTATCACACCCCGACTCGACTCTCTGATCATCCTGAAAAATGTTGCTCTAGTTCCCAACCTCTACGAAGCTGTTTCTGGGATTAGCATAGCTATAACAGTATGTCAAAATTTGATTTGAATACTATTTGAATACGATGTGTTCATATCCTTTCCTTTCTAACATATCTGTTTTCTGTTTTCTAGAGTGTTGGTATAATGAAGCAGGATTTTGGTGAAATCAAACACTTACTAGCACATGCTGGTATCTCGTCAAGTGGATCAGGAACGGGATACGGTACTAACCGGGTATCCGAGGCTGTGGTGAAAGCCAAGGCCATGCTAGAAAAGACGAGGTTCACTGTTTTGGAGTCTCCTAGAATGTTTTGGACTATTGCAGGTGACGTATCATTCCAAGAGGTATAATTCTATTCTCTCTCTCTCGAGACTTCTGCAATATAAAATTTGAATCTCTCATAATTTATATTTTAATTAGGTGTATGAGGCGAACGAAATTATATGCAAGACTGATGATCCATTGTCCACTTGTCTTTACGCCGGTTCCACTCCGAGTTTGCTAGTCCCTAAAGCGGAGTTTTGGTAACTCTTTATGAGTTCAGTGGTAAGAGTTATACATGATTGTTCGTATGTTACACATGATTGTTCCTCTGGTTAAAGACATCTCTTTGGTCTGATCATTCTTATAACAATCACAAATGGATATCCTTGTAATGTTTCAGGCATGTCAGAAGACAAAAAAGCGTCAGTATCACAAAAAATCTTGGAAAATGTCAAGACACATGAAAAAACTCTTGCAAGTTTCCAGCAGGATCATTGTTGCCAATCCAGATGCATTGAGGATAAAGCTCAAGAAACTTTTCAACAAGGATACATGGTAAGTTGTTATTCGCCGTAAAATAATAGCATTACTCTCTTTATGCTCAGAAGAATCTTATCCCCAAGCTCTCATTTGGTGAACCGCAGGAGTATGAGCCCACAGGACAACTCCAGCAAAGAGTTAACCAGAGGTCCCAACCAAAGCCGCCATTGAATCACTACGAGCCACGCCAATAGAGACATTGCTTGAAGAGTTCCGTGAGAACAACTCTTATGAATCCTTTGCGACCAAGGAATCAAAACCGCAACAGCTAACACGGTCGCCTCTCCCACAAGTCAATTAGGGAACCACCTCTGTTCCATTATGATCATTTGTTTTTGTTTTCGTAAACCTCAAATCAGCGTCTGTGTCTGTTGACAAGGGGATTATTCCATTGAGTCATTGGCTAAGCTTACGTTATCTGTAATGAGAATATTAGATAAGCGTCAAAGTCTTTGGAAGCTTGTTTGCAGTC